GATCCGCACCTCGCGACCCTAGGGCGAGCATCCACAGGTGCCTGATCTACCTTGGAGATCTGTCGAGGTACAGCGCCCAGATCTCGCCCAAGGCCGCCATCCTCGGGGTCCCGCTGCCGGGCGCCGCGGCGGCCACGCCGCCGCCCGCATCGGCCGCCGCTGCCAATGCTGCTGCTGCGGCGGCGGGGCGGGCGGATTACCACCGTGCGGCGCAGTGCTACAAGCTGGCGGCGCGCGTACTGCCGCGGAGCGGCAACCCATTCAACCAGCTGGCTGTGATGGCGTACTTTGCGGGGGACGAGCTGAGGGCGGTCTATTACTACTTCAGGTGACGAGGGGGAGTGATAGTTTTCGAAATTCGAAGTACAGCCATGGGGGGTTGACCAGCAACGCCCGGCGACCAGCGACAGCGGATGCGTATTGGCAAGGTGGCAGTATCTGGGGCAGGCGGCGGCGAAGGCAGGGCCGCGTTCCCAGTGTTGCATGCGTGGTCCAGCGGCGAGGGCAGCCGGGCATCCTTGATTTGCTCCCCCCCCCCTGGACCCCTCACAACGCCCTCACTCACATGATTGTGAATCGGCACCCCGTTGGCTGCAATCGAACCATCCTCAAGGTCCCTATGCGTGGCGACGCCCTTTTTGACGGCAAGGGAGAACCTTCTGCTGCTGTTTGAGCAGAACAGGGCCAAGTGAGCAGCGCGCGAATGCGAGGGAGCCAGGGAGGGAGCACACCTTGCTTGTGGTGTGTGTGTGTGTGTGTGCGTGTGTGTGTGTGTGTGTGTGTGTGTGTGTGTGTCGCGGTTTTGAGCCTGATGAGCTGCCTGACGCCTGCTCTGCAGGCAGCCATGCAACCCGGCGCACCACTTCGCGCGGCGACCCCGCTCGAGCAAGGCCAGCCGCCGCCTGCATCTTGATTGCGCCACACGCCCTGCCCTGCCCCGCATCGCGCCCCTCGGACCCAAGGGCGGCCGCTCATCTTCCCGCTGCACAGGCGCTTCGCATTGCCAACGCCGAAGCTGCACCCCTGTTTCCCCCCATTCCCCCGTTCCCCCTCGCAGGTACTCCACCCTGCCCCCGCCCCCCGAGCCTGACGCATCCTCCCAGCAGCGCCCTGCCGCGCAGCTGGCCCAGGAGGTCTCTATCAGATTCGTGCGGCTGGCTGGGATCCTGTTCGACAAGATCAACTCAGAGGAGTGGGACGCGGCGTGCTCGGGCGCGTTTGCTGCGCTGGCGGCGCTGCTGTCGCACCCGGCCGCCCGCGAGCAGCTGCAGCGCCAGCCGCGCGCCGACGCGGCGCCGCTGCACCTCGTGG